ATCTTAGAATCAAATGTAGAACTCAGCCAATCTTTACATTATCGAAGACTTCAATTTTGAATCCCTTAATCTTATGATTTTTAGATAGCATGAGAGTGTATTTTTTAGGTTCTTAGACCACTCGTTTTTTTGAGAAAAAAACAGCCTATTAATCACACTAATATTTTAACTATATGTCCTGTTTTACCTAAGAACATGAAAAAACATAAAAAGCCATAATGATTTAAATTATATTTTTATTAATAGTGAAAAATGGCAAGAAACATTCTTGGAATTGTTATAAATATAACCACATTAAACTATCGCAACCAATTGTGACATTTCCTTACTGCAGTATTATTATAATTAATAACAATTAATACAATTAATTAATATTTAACATTGAAACATTCAAAACATTAAACACACATAAAAAAACATGTTTGTTGCAAAACTAGTCAGTTGCATTCAATGCAGTATAGTGAACTTTTGCACTTCTCAAGCTTCTTCATTGTGGAAGATCTGATCAGGAAGCTCTTGAAGAGTGAGTCTTGCTGACCTCTTACCTCTGCCACTAAAGCAGCTTTCTGTAAACCTTTATATATCTTATTAAACCCAAACACACATTTGTTATTTGTTAAGTAGCGATGATGTGAAGATGTATTGAAGAGATATCCGCTGACAACTGTCTCTCGATTGTATAAAAAGGTTTTATTACAAAAAAGTCCAGCATCAAAATCAAGCAACTAGGAGCTTGGAGAGCATCTGGCCAAAATGAATAACTCTGTCTATATGCGTCTAAACTTTAGGCTTATATAAGTTTGGTTGTTTATTGAGAAAACTGGGAAAAAAACATCCTGGTCTCTAACGCTCACAGACCGTTAAGCTGGAATGGTGTAACTCGTCAAACGCCGGTCAGTGTTATTCACTTTACTTGTCCCTTGAGAGATCTAGTATTGATCACCTCCACCTTTTCAAAAACTGACCATGAATATCACTGTGTCTCTTGCTGTGAACAGGTGCCAGGACGAGTGTCCGGTTGGTACTTATGGTGCTGGCTGTGCAAAGACTTGTCGCTGTAAGAACAACAGTAAGTGCTACCACACCAACGGAATGTGTCTGTGTGAGCCAGGATACACAGGGGAGACATGTGACATCCGACTGTGTCCTGAAGGCAACTACGGCCTACGATGTGACAGGAAGTGTCCGTGCTATGCCCAGAACACACGCAGGTATGCAGGAATGGTCTTCATACATAAATTTGGTCAGTCAGTTGCTGAAAATATTTTTATCAGTATGTTAAAATGTGTGTATTTCAAATTAAAGTGTTGACAGACATAAGGAGGAAGACCTTTTCATTTGTTGTCTGTGTGATGGCTGATCCTGTGGACAGAGTGATCAGTTAGGCTGGCACAGCTGGCGGCTGCATGTGGTGTTGCAGAGAACAGCTGTTGTGCTTTTTCTCAATGGGAGCGCTGTGTCAGGTGGGCCAGCTGTCCGTCATACACAATTACCAACCAATACAGGCAGAGTCCACCTGTGTTACTGCACATAATTCCCACCCTTCTGGCAGGGAATGGAAAACATCATGGAGGAGGAGCCAGAGGAACCAGAT